AAATAATTTCCATCTTTTTCAAAATCAAAACATTGTTAACAGGTTTTTTACTTTCGGATTCATTTATTCAAATAACTCAAAATGTATATGTTTAATTGTGATTATAATGATCTTAAAAGTACTCCATTATCTTTTAAATAAGAATAAATAAAAGACAAACTGTACGTTTATTTTGTAAATTTGCATAAGTAGGGAATTTTAAATTAAATTATTTTCACCCAATTGTGAAATCAAACTTTAAGTTTTGTGATTAAATTGACTCACAACTTATGTCGCTTTAATTTTGTCGGAAATAATCTCAAGAACATGGATGTATGTATGAATTGTGTATGATCATAGAAAAGTAATTCACATTTTTGAAGCCAAGATAAACAACCACATTGTTTTAAAATACATTTAAATGTACTTTGAAGCTTCTTATCTTAGGGAAAATACATTTTTAGAGGTTTATTTCACAACGTTCTTTAGATAAAGAGGATTCTGTGTTTTTGTTTCGTGATGCATTCTAAAACAAACTACGTGAATTCCGATCTCATTTTTTTCTACCCTTTAACCCCTTCGTTTTTCGCCGATCCTGTGGTTAACTTTTGGCAAGGTTCTCAGGTGAGCCATCCACCCACGCAGTGGGCTAAATGTAACGTCAAATTCGAATGCATTAGATTAATCTCTGGCTAATGAGACAAATTTCAGACAGAACTAATTGGAAATGGCAGTCGCAAGAGCAGCTGTTTCAGTTGCAGTCGTTGCCACAGACAAGATGCAGATACAAAATGTAGATGCAGATACAAATATAATCACAGAGCACGACAATGCCAATGGCATTGACCTTGAACTTGTGCGATTTTTCCCGTTTGCCTTACCTTTTTTTCCGATTTTCCTTTGCTCGACGGATTGCATTATCTATTGCAACGGAGCAATTTGAATAGAAAATTGAGTTGAAGGTGGAGGTGGAGCAGAGCGGAAATACCTTTGCCTGCCATGTCATCGTAAATATTTTCCCTCTTTATTTTTCATTCAATTTGCTACCTTTGAGTGCTCAAATTGCTAAGCGCGTCACCCACTTGGCAGGTGCAGTGGCAGGTGCATCAGGTTAAAATTATTTGTCTCGGGAGAAGAGAGCTTGAGAAGTGGGAAAACTGAAACCCGAGACATATACGAAAGTGCAAAAATTGAATTATTGAAAGTTGGCAAAAATAAGTGCACTCGAAGGTGACAATTGCCGAAGACAGTGAGTGGGAGAAGCGTACTGTTCGCATATAAGCTTTGCTAATTTTTCAGGTTGATTTATGGAAGTTCCCATTCGTAATAAAGTCTAATTTATTTTGTAGGTACTTAAAAAGAGCTAATGACCTTAACTCGTTGTAAAGTTTATTTACCACATAACTTTAAGCCTAGCTTTGCCCTTTGCAAATAATTTGATTATAAAACTATAAACTATATAGTTCAAACATAACTTTTTAGTTATTCATATGTCAATAGGCACAAATAAAATAAAAATAAAATAACGAACAAAAAAATAATATACAGATAACTCTTACATTAAAAAAAAAACAAACAAATTTGTTATTATGAGCAACATAATATACATCGCGTTATTTAAACTTTTACAACAACTATTTGTAGAAGTGCACAATAAAACATATTTTTTACGACCCTATTATCTGTTGAAGTTCAATGGTTTATTTTTTAACAAAGTTATGAACACTTTTATATTGTTTGTTTGTTTTTTCATTAGCTTACACTTGGGATAGGCCATTCATCAACTTTTCGCAGTCAGTGTTTGCACTTCCAGTTTGTTTATCGCCTTCGCCCACACAACGGCCTCAACCTACGACCCATTGGAAACAGTCTCCGTTTTTGTAGTCTCTTTTTCGAAATGTCACAGCCCACACTAGATCTTCGTTTCATATTTTCTCTTTTTCGCAATTTTTCCCCCTTTTTCTTGTTTTCTGTTGCCATTTCGCATTTGAATTTTGCCGCCCTAGAACAATAAACTTGCTTTATGAAAGAAATTCCCTCTATGGGTGGGATTTACAAGGGGGAATGGGTGGTGAAAAGTCCAGGGAAAGGGGGGCTCATGAAAAATGGGATGGGGCTAGCTACTGTCGTTCAAAGCAAACAAACAAAGTTTGGCATTCAAAGTTGAATGCCGGGGACTAATTAAACAATAATAAAACGCAAATAAAACGAGAATACAAAACATTTTATGGTGTTGCCGCCACTCGCCCCTGTCACCACCCACTGCCAAACCAAAAAAAGATACCATCCAAAACCCTTCCCTTAACCCCTCAACCTATTCCCCATATCAGCAGCACCCAAAAATTATTGTCACGAATACATTAAAAATCACTCAACCGTTGTCTCGTGTGCCAATTTTTTGTTTTGTTATTTCCCCGCCACCCCTTTATCTATTTTTTTTTGCTAAAATTCCAACCCCCCTGCCCCCCTATTGTTCATTTTAAATGTGGTGTTCATTTAAATCACATAAAAATCAAACAAAAAGCCAGTTTTATCTTGCGATGTTCTATTATGGGTTATTTTTTGTCTGCTTGTTTTTCGTATGTTAATTGATAAAGTTTTATAACATTTTAATGAAACAGCCAAACGAAACTGAACTGAAGTGAACCGCAAATTAAATGCAAATCTACATTGGAAAAAAAATGATTACCTTGAAATAGTTTCAGTTTTGGAATTTGTAAGTGGTCTTCAATAAGTAAATAAATCAATAAAACTTTGCTAATCATCAAGTTTAAAATTGAAGATAATATGTACCTCGGCGGCATTAATGTGCCAACGGCTTTTAACGACTAGTGAAATACCCTTAAAAATCAAGTGTGACATTTTTATGAGCAATTAAAATGCTGTAAATTCTGACTTAAATATAAATATTATTTATTGATTGTTATTCCATTTAATTTCGTGTTTTAAAAACCATTCCTTATAAAAGTAGTTAATTATTCCCCGATATAATTTTTAATGGGATCACTGTATTTTATGGTATTTAATTTTTTGCTATTAAATTGAATAGAATGTGAATAGTTTTACATCTTTGAATTTCAATAAATGATTGGATGAATCTTTTTATTTTTTTATTGCCTGTTTCAGCACAAAATATTAATCAAGTTATCAATTTAATTATTTTATTGAAAATTCATCTCAAGTCTAAATTGCTATTTATCTTCTTTTGTTCCACATAAATCATCCACTGTCAAAAAACCATTATGAAATAATGTCTGATTTGAGTTTTTTTTTCGTTTTGAATTTTTTAAAACAAAATCGCTTAATTTATGCATAATGGCCATAACTCAACGCGACAGCGGAATTCACCTTTAAAATTAAACAAACAGCAAAAAAATCGTTTTCAGTTTTTTTTCTTTGGCCGATTTGACAAATGACAAAAATAATAATAATACCAGTAGCCACCTGCTGTAGGGTCGGTGGAATTATACTATAGACGTTATTATTATTGTCCAGTCCCGATGTGAACAACTCCAACAGCTGTAAACTGTCAGCGGCATCTGCGATATCTGAGATCGCAGATCATGCAAATTAGTTTGCCATCACATTTCAAGAAATTAAAAATTCATAATTTGGGAAGAGTTCGTGGAAAAGAATTCAAAGGAATTCCTCGGATACGAGAGGCGTTTAATTGAGACTTATGAGGGGAAAACAAACAATTAAGCAAGCTTTAAATACCGAGAAAATTTAGTGGGTGGGGTTGGGTGAAGAGTTCAAGAACCTTACCTTCGAATGGGCATGCAAAACCCTCTCGAAGGTCGGTTGCGATTCGGCTGAGCCTGGGCTAATTAGAGCCAAAGGACATCGCACAATGGTCATGACATGTGGCAGTCGACGGTCGACAGGCGACAGGCGCCACATGGATATGGGTAAATCGCGTGTTTTTGGCCGCTCCCAGCTGTGAAAAATGGGTCGCGCGTGACAGTCAGCAAAGTGCGGGTGGTGGAGGGGTAGGCGGGGTAAGCGGTAGCGGACCGGGGGGTCAGGTCCAAAACGAAGCCGGCCAAATCCGGCTAAAATCAATAACAAACACGCAAATACTTAAGCTCCTGCTCAGACTGAATCAGCGAATCCGCACTCTTTAAATAATTTCGCCAAAAATCGTAACAGACAGCCAAGCGCACAGAAAGAAAAAAATATTACCAACAATATCTTATCGGTTTAGGACATACATATCACATCTTTGACACACATATAATTCACAATTTTTTCTCTATAAAAGTATAAAAAGAAAGTTTACCTAGTTTAAAAAGAAATCAATTTTTAAACATTAACATTAAACATTTGTTCATCTAACTTACAATATTTCTAATAAATCCTTTATACATTTTATCGCCCACCAAAAAACACCTTACATAAATTAGTTATCACCTTGACAGTTTTTCTTAAAAATAAAGTTTGTGTAATCCGGGACATGTCAATTTGTTATTATATCAAAATGATTTTTTAAACTCATCAAAGTGAAATTTTTAGCATATTTATCATATCAATATTTTAATACTTTATAAACCCTTTTTTGAATTGATTAACAATGATAAGAATACAAAAGAGTTGAAAAGAAAACTTAAACATATCAAATTCTATTGTTAAATTTTCTTCGCTGTGCATAAATTGGCAAAACATCCGCCAGCAAACCTAGTTTGGCGTTGTCTATTTGTGTGTGGGCTTGAAATGCGTCAATGATTGAATTAAAATCTGATCAAAGTAAAGAAGCTGCCAGAAAAACAGCAGTGGTAAGTCAACAAGTCGTGTAAATATCATCAGGGAGAATGTCATATGGTATCCGACAAAGGCAAATTTGTTGTATGCATTCAGCATTCGCTTGGTTGATGTGGCCTCTGCATACAAATTACCCAAACAGTGTGCCAAATGTGATTAATGATTGATCAAATAAATTAATTGACATTTTCGCATTGATCAAGCACTCGTAGATGAAGCAAATGACATTGATTTTCCCTCCCAACCTCTAATTAAAAACCATATTCCATCTATTGGTTTCTTTTAATGTGGGTAATAATGCACTTTTAAGCAGTTACATGTCGATTGTTACATGATTGTGAAAAGCTATGTCTATATACACACATAAAAAGTATCGCAGTAAAAATGCAGTAAAAATAAACATTAAAAATAATATGTTGTTGCACAGCAGCAGCTTAAAATAATATAAACTATAAGCCTTAACTTAAACATAATTGCACGTAAAGGAACATATACACAACTTGACTTTATACGAGTTTACGGAAAGTACAAAAAATCCGAGTACATTATAGAAATACAAATAGATATCACACACACAGTATAGTAGATCGACTAAAACACACATATAGATCTTCTAATCCTGATGTATACAGTTTTATGCCTTAATTTTGCGGCCCATCTTTTGTGTTCCGTACTTGTGGCCATCTCGACCGGAAGATCCGCTACCTCCACTACTTCCATGACCATGGCTATGGGAATTGTGCGACTTGTGCTTTCCCAATCCATTGCTCTTAGTGCGGGTCTCAAAAAGAACATCAGAATCCGTCTCTGATTCGGTCAGCGATGTGTTGCGGGAATCTGTGAGGTAATTTGTAATAAATAATTACATTACTTAAAGAGTAAATTATGTCTATACTTACAATTGGCTGCCTCTTCATCCTTGTTACCAATCAATGAATACTTCTGCACTTTCTGGCGAAGGCGTGGCTTTTTTGATTGTCTGCAGGCACAGGCTATACCCCAAAATACTCCAGATAGTAAAAGGCAGCCTACAATTACTCCGACAAACACATAGAGTATTGACCAATCTGAAAAATTGATTTTAAAAGTATTAGCAAAGGTATAACAAAGGATTTAAATATTAAAAGCTTACCACAATTGGCCTCCTGATTGTTGAAGAAGTAGCCTGCCGATGGCATCCAGAATGCCTCGCAAATACAGGCTCTGTTGACGGGATTGCAGGTGCCATGACCGGAGCAATCGTTCTGACAAATAGTGGTGCGTATATCGACAGCGAATGCGCCTAGTATAGATGCATCCTTCTGGAGTTGCGTCCTCAACTGCCGCTCCACTTGCAGGCCATCAAGTACCTTTCCCTGCCCATCGTTCACATAGAAGACCAGGACAGTCGCATCCGTATGCAGATCGTATTTCAGTTCCCTAAATTGGATCTTATTCTCGTCCCCCAGCAGAAGTTGGAGCTTCTGCACCACTGAATCCAGTTCGGATTGTACGAGCACAGAGATGCCCATGGGCAGGGTCATTTGCACCAAGTTCAAGAGCCTTGGATCGCGTCGAACATTCACGCTGACAGTATCAGAACTCGTCAAACCCTGATCATCGCTTACAGTCAGTGTAAATACATAGCGGCCTTGCACTAGATTTGTTAACTAGAAAAATGTATAAATAATATAAATCTCAGTTGGATAAAAGTTGTTATTCTTTACTCACAATCATCACGGGTTCCTTGTCTGTATCTGCCACAATGACTCCGGCTGCCAGGCTGTGTTCGTCGCGGGTCCAAACATACTTGACCACCGCCAGGTCATCCCAGGATTTGGAGCCATTAAAATAGATAGCGGTGGCTGGCAGCGTTATGGTGTGATCTCCGCCACCGTTGGCTATTGGGGCAGCGTTGCGTTCTAATTTAAAATAAATAATGAACATAAATAAAGGAATTTTGATTGATTCTGGCTAAAGTACCTTGTACAATCTTGACCCAGGTAGTGTCCGTAGCTGTATTATTATTCTCATCAGATACAATTAACTCGAACTCGTAGAGACCGAGTGTAAGGGAGGTTGCATTGGCAATCTGTGGGATTAAAAGATATTAACTGTTTTCAATGTATAAGAATATAAACACTTACCGAAGAGTTGGACTTTAAAAGAACAGCATTATTGGGTCCACTCAGCTGCCGCCACAAGTAACTCTTGATACCAATGTCATCCTTGGATTCAGAGCCATTCAAAAGTACCCAGTTAATGGGTAGACTAGTGGTCTGTTAAAAGCAAAACATTAAGCCGGATTAAAGATAATCCCTTTGTCCAGACTCACCGTATTAGTTCCCGCCTCAGCAACTGGAGGAGAATTCGTTGGGGGTTTCACAAAGACATGGACTTTAGCTGTACTGGATTGCCCACTGCCATCGGTGACTTTGAGCACAAAGGTGTACATGCCCTCCTCTAGATTGGACAACTGTACATAGGGGGTCCTGGTGTTCTGCATATCCACAGCCTTTGCCTCGTCGCTGGCATCCTTGGTCCACTCCCAGGCCACGATTTCGTGATCATCCGAACTGGCTGTTCCATTCAGAGTTACATTATTGTTGGGTAAATACAGGATTACAGCATCGCCGGCATTTGCCACCGGAGCATAGTCCGTTTCCTTCAGAACTGCTATGGTGGCAGTGGTGGAATTGGTCACGTTATTCGAATCGGTCACGGTTAACTTGAATGTGTAGTTTCCCGGGGAAGTGAGATCCAGCTGGAGCGTGTTGACCTCCGGCAAAACGGGTTGGTAACCAATGGGACCTGAGATGACCTCCCAGTGCCAATTGGTGATCTTGTCGTCATCCGTGCTGGTGCTGCCATCGAGAATGGCATTAGTGGTGGGCTGCCGGATGATCTGATCCCTGGGCGAGATGATCACCTGCGGTGGCTGATTGATTCGGTTCTCGGGAAGCACTGTTACATTAGCTGTCGCCTCGCCAAAAGTTCCATTGTCTCCAGTTACGGTGACCTTAAAGGTGTACAGTCCCTCGGAAAGATTCGATAGCTTCACCTTGGACTTGCTCTGATCCGATATTGTGCCATTCATGGGACCCTTGGGTTGGGAAATAAGAGTCCACAGATATTTGTACTTTGTGTCGCTGGTCTGCTCATCGGGCACTGTAAACGCCGCTAGGGTCACCTCCTGCTCTGGCAACCTAACTTCCTTGGACATCACTGAGACAACGATGTCCTTGCTCTGTTCAGTTTTCAAGGGTGGAGTGGATACCTCTGGTGAATTCTCGCTGGCAGCAGCTTCCTGCTGTCCTGCCTCATTGCTGGTAAGATAGGAGCTATACGGAACCGCTGCCATCACGCACTTTCTTTGTTTATTCCACCCGAAGCCTTCGGGACAGGTGCAAACCCCTCTTACCGCATTCGGCTGGAGTGGGACACATTGTTGAGGTGGCGGACAAGGGTTCTCCACATCGCATGTGGTGAACTTGGCATTCGCATCGTAGTAGCCGAGCTCTTCGTTGGCTAGCACATCATTTTCGTCGGGCTGGAAGATCATTTGATTCATTCGTTTATCCGCCAATGGGAAATCTTCGTCCTCATAAACGGGGGTTTCCTAAAAAAAGAAGTTTGGGATTAATAAGTGATTTAAGTAGTGTACATTTGTGTGACTTGTATAAGACAACAATAAATACTTCTAAGAACTCCGGTTACCACCCACCTGATTTCGAGATAGATATCCCAATCTCCTGGGCTGTTTCCAGAAATTTAGGGCTGCCTCATCGTAGGGCAGGATCTCGGCATTCTGCTTAGCGGCCTCCGCCTTGAGGAGCTGTGGCCAGGTGGCCTCGCCCAGTGGATTCACCAGTACCATCTGAACCTTCTCGTTGGGCATGCGAACCCTGAGCTTGGGCAAACATGCTTCGTTGCTCTGGCAGCGGATGTGGTAGCACTTGCCCTTGAAGACCAGGACCACGTTGCAGGCACTGGTCGCATTGCGGGGCTTCTCGCAGCACGCCTGCAGGCAGTTCCACAGATAGGCCTCCTCCTCCAGGGGCTCCGCTGTATCCGGCGGTTGTTTGTACTCCTCGAAGACCCCCGCCTGTTGTTCATCCCGCGGCGTGGCATTCTCGAAAACATGTCGCAACATCTTGTGGCACACCAAATTGGGGGCTGTACCGCCGCCAACTGAAGTATCCGTGGTTTCTTTGTGTTTTTTATTTCCACCCAGCAGAGCATTTTGCGTCGTGACGTCGGCATATGCTGACGACATCGCAAAAGCCAGCAAAAGCAGCTGGAAAACCCAGTTGCCCACTTGAACCATCTTTAAGTTTGGTTCCGCCGCAAAGTACTGGCTGTTGGGTAGAGTTTTGGGTCCAGAATCACCAGCAAAACACTGGATCTGCGATTTTTTCTTTCGGCCAGCGCACAACAAATATTGAAAACCAACTACTCCAGCTGACAGCGTATTTGTTATGGCAGCCCTGCGCAGTAATCAGTGTTGTAAGTGGTAGTGGTTCCAAAGAGAGTGGAATGAGTGTTGGACGTTACGAGCGGAGTGGAGCGTTAGATACGGAAGTTACCGCTGAGAAATAACGAAAAAAGCTTAATGGAAAAGCTTTCTCTCTCTTTGTTGCTCGGCAACTGTTTCGTATTTTTACTTCATTTAAATAAATAGTAACATTATTGATTTAAATTACAACTTAGGCTAATGGAACTCAGCCCTAGCAATATATTTTCATAAACTAATTTTTATTAAATTTCAATTCTTCTAAAACAAAGATAATCTTTTGTCTGACTACAAAATGTTAGTTTTATTGTTTAATAAATTCAAGATTATATAAACTCGAAGAATACCATGCATTCTAATTGGATCAAAATGTAGGTTCTAACCAGCAGAGAATATAATATCATATTTAAACCGGTTTAGATTCTGATGAATTATGACTCTCGTTTCGGGATGACATCTTTTTTTAACTCCGCCATAATATTTCCCGCTGCTGTATTTCCCTAATAAGGCCTCGTTCTGCCCACACACTAAAACTCGACAATACACACCCATCAGGTTGTTTTGTATGATTTAAATAATAATAAACACGGCCCACGCGCCAATCGAATTTCACAAATCGCAGTGCAGAGAAATTAATTACAATTCAAGCTGATTCAAATAAATCACTGTATTGTATTTATGCAGATTTTTAATTGTCAAGCACGCAAATGCAAAGCAAAGAATATAAATCAATCTGAGTTAACCGAATCGAATCCTATGCTCAGCCTGGTCGGCTTGTTCCGTTTGTTGTTGTGGGCCCCTTAAATCCGTTGAAAGTCTATTTATCTCCTCGTCTAATTTTCACGGCCTTGTTCAGGTCTTTTTTATAGCCAGCCGGTACTACTATCTAAAGCTGCTGCATTAACTAAAAAAAAGAAGAATAACCATGAAAAGATATTGATTGTAACCAGAGAGGCCTTATCAGTGAAGTAATGTTTGAGATCAGCGAATAAATACATTCGAGGGTAATATTTTTAAATTTATTCCTTACCCCTGGAATGACTTTAATCAAGACCTTTAAAGCAATGAAATAATAAATTAATTAAAGACCTAAGACCTCTGCTATTTGAAGAATTCCCATTTATAGAGCCAATGAATAAATTCAACACATAAATCTTTTTGAATGGCACGCGTTAAGCATATGAACGAGTGTATAAAATGGCCCATCAATTGTTTGAATATTTTATTACTTTGTGGGGAATCCACAATTACTGTATGTTTAATGTTTATCACCGAGACAATTCACTGAAAGCTGTGAGATCTGTAAACTTGTATATACATATATATGGTGTATCTAAATGGTTTTGGAGTTACTCATTGTCATATAAGGAAAGCATTCCGTCAGTATTTCCACTGATAAGCTTGCATTGCAAACTGACACGTCTCATTCATTTCTCCTCTCGTTTTTATTTACCCAACAGATGACAGACTTCTCGGATAGTTCGCCCAGTGGGGTGTTGAGTCCACCCTCCTCGCTGATCGAGAATTTCCACAAGAAGAACGGCTCACCGCAACCACTCGGTAGCAGCACCACCACTACACTTACCCCCACGACCTTGAATGGATCTGCAGTGGGCGTGGGCGGTGGGGTGGGTGGCGTGGTGGCCAGCACCACGAACGGCAGGCAAATTAACACCAGCTCTAGTTCATGCAGTAGTCTTAAGGAAACCTCACACCAGTCCACATCCACATCACAACAGGTGAGAATTAATTATAGTTAATTTATTTAATGGCTTTAAGTCGCAAGAATATATCCTTTGAGTTCAGAGCATTTCCTATTTGTACAATTTGATGAGGTACTCAGAGAATTGTATAACCTATGTTATACGTAATATAGATTTATTAAGAAGACCTCTACCCAATCAAACGTTGAAATTTAATAAAAATCAAGTGCAGCCAAGATTTTGTTTAGGTTTGAGTATACCAAGAATTCCATCCACTTAAGTTCTCGATTAGACAAAATAGAATCTGACGCAGCAGTGGTCATCAGTTCAGATATGGTAACTGAACAGTATGGAATCCAGCAGAGCTGGCATAATGCCGCTATTTTTAACGCATTACTTAAGGAACCCCTAATCGTTGGAACCTTTCGATGGTACTGCTCCACCGATAAGTCTAGAGGTTAACATTTGATAACCGATCGTTTTAAATACACAGCCACAATTCATGCCCTTCCACTGGGACCCCTTTTCTTTGATAAGATTTCCTTTTAACTTTTAATAGTCCCACTGGCGACGCTACGGCTGCTGTACACGAGCAAAATCGCTTTTATTAATCACGTATTAATTATTTGCTCGGCTTGTAGCTACATAAATAAACACTCGAATAATTATTGAACAATTTGGAAAGGGGGAGAAGACAAAAGGCCGGGCAAAACGTGCCGCACAATTGTTTAACCGTTTTTAATGACCTGTTAACAAGTTGTTTATGTTTTTTTTTTATGATTTAAATAGATAAGATACGAGTTGGGTTTTCACTAGAATTTGCATAGCCAGCACACGTTTTTATCTTCGAATTTTCCCTGCTTTTTTATTTGATAAGGAAGTTGCCAATTAAATAGTTTGTCAATCGTTGACAGTTTTTGTCCGCTAAAAATAGACACTGACCCATTAGCATTTCATGTTTATATGGCCTGTCTATCAAAACTTTAAAATGTTCACTATCTATCTATCTGTATTGATCTATTTCTTATCAATCCTTTCATAAAAAATAGTTTTGAACAGTATGAAATCAGATTTTTCTGCTGGCCATTCATGAGTCAGAAATAGCCTCTGACCTGATCAAGCTTGATTCCCACTTTATTTAATTTACTAAATTAGAACTTGCCTGTTTATAAGGTAGACAGAAATGTTATTTGCATTGTAAAATTTATGACACATATTTCCGACTAGTTAAGCACTGCAAAGACTGTCGCAAATGTTTGAGCATCTCTTTCACACAAGCAAATGAAAAATTTTCGTAGCTTGAAAACTAAAATACCCTTTTTTCGAAAGATAATTGTTGTAAAAAAATTAGTCGTTTTCTTTAATAGAACAATTTGTATTTTCTTGGCTTTTTTTGTATCCCCTTTTGTCTTAAAAATGCTGCAAAGAATTGTGCCATAACTTTTAAATAATGAATTCTGGTTAGGAAAAAATATGGAGGCGAAAAATAAAAAATACTATCAAATGATCTGGAATCCAATTAAATTAGTTTTACACATTTTATACAATAAATGTTTAAGGAAAAAAAAAACTTTAATATTAAGAACAATAAAATATATATTCCTTACGAATACAGGGTATCAAAGTGAAAACACATTCTCCACAGTCTTCTTCTTGCTGTTTCTTATTGACTCGCTTTAAATTGAGGCTGAGTCACCTGCCGGTAGACGGCACACTTCGCCGCCATCGAATTCTACGTCAGCAGAGCAGAGTGCCTCCGATTCCGTCCGGTTCCATCCGCCCCGTATTCCCCACTGCCCCATTCCGACCCTCGATTCATGAATCGTGCTGAATTCGCCACTTTATTTTGATTGTGTGATAGACTCGTTATCGGTATACATCCTGGTTGTGACTGAGATTGTGTGTTTGTGGTCCAAGTTCAAGCAGCATCATCGTTTTGACTTTTTTGTTGCGCGTTTTTCCCATATCAAGAGTTCAACGCTCATTTACGTATGTATGTATATGTGTACAACCGAATGCTTTCTGTGGCAAATTCATTCACATTCAGTATAATAAAACACAAATTGCCCATTGCTTCGGCGAATTGGTTTTTGCGCCTGGCATGACAATTTAAGTTTTCCAATGAAAAAAGCTATATTTTAGGTGGTTAGCAAGCCAATTTCGCGATATGATTTGCCATTCGCAGAAATTGTTGAGGTAAACCGAACAAAAAGAATATCATGACGCGGGTAAAGATATGATAATGTTATGATAAAGATAGGAGATCTATAATAAATCGTGAAGGGGTTTTAAATATGGCTGCACAAAGTAGATAAACTATTTTTAGAACTGAGAAGAAAAACAAACTTGAAATGTACGGAAATAAATCATAATAGTAAAACTATTACGAGATACTGATATTTACGACCTGCAAGATCTATTCAAAATAATACAAAGAAAGATCAGTAAAACCAGTCCCCATAACGATGTTAAAATACATTTAAAACGCATTTATTTCAATTAGACAAGCTTAACGGTCTCAATAATAATTAAAATATTATAAAGGCTAAGCAAATTTGCTGAATAATTATGCATAGATTAACACCCAATTATTCAAATACTAAATAAAAACAAAGCAAAGCGCTTTAGCTCACTCTCTCAGTGAAAAGTCCCGTGGTAATCAGAAAAGTAAACATCAAAAAGTAAGCAGAACGAGATACAATCTTCAACCAGCTTGAATCAGAATATCAGAAAAAAAACGAACTACAAATCGAACGCAAGCCGAGAACTCGTTAATTAGAGAAGCTGAAGCCTGAAAAGCTTAGACAGAAACGTGAACCGAGCCCGACTTAGCAGCTGAATTATGGAAATGCAAATTATTCACGGCATAAATTAAAGATTAAGCGAAGGGAAACACGGCGAAAATAAACACATAAAAGCTGAGGGAGAGCCGCCAAGACTTGTATTTACAATTTGATTTCCTAGAATTCCTCTGCCTGCAAACACATACGCTAAAAGCTATCACCCCCCTCCCTGTGTTGCCATTTAGCTACCCGGCTCTGTCTCATTTTTTCTCTGACTATCTGTCTTCTCTCCACATAAAAAAAATTTTTTTTCGGTTTATATTTAAATATTTATTGTACATTATTTAAATTCAGTATCAATTCATCCCAATATTGTTGAAGCTTTCTTCGTTTGAATGGATAGTAAACTAAAACCCTTGAATGCTTTACCATTTTATCAAAGAAAGTTAAATAATTTTGTTTGATGAATGAAAAAAAACTTTAAAT